CCCACAATCCTGAGAGGAAGGGAAGATGGAGGAGAAAGGATTGCAGCATGGCCATCCCTCATTGGGGGTGGGGAGGCCAGTGCTCTCTCTCTCTCTCTCTCACCAGTGAATAAACATGCCCTCTGGCAAAATTCTTTTAAAAATTAGGAATAATATTTGATTACTTTTTGCCATGGGATGAAGAGAAAGCTAGCATTAACTCACACCTGTGTAGCAGGGGTGCCATCTAGCGGGGGTGTCCATGTAGTGGGGGTGCCTGTGTAGCGGGCGTGATGTGTAGCAGGGGTGCCTGTGTACCAGGTACCTGTGTAGCAGGTGTGATAGATAGCGGGGGTACCTGTGTACCGGGTACCTGTGTGGCAGGTGTGATAGATAGCGGGGGTACCTGTGTACCGGGTACCTGTGTAGCGGGTACTCTCGGGCTCTTACACCTTGATCTTATTGAATCCTTACTGTCTCAGGCATTAGAATCCCTATTTTGCAAAGAAGGAATCTGAGACTCAAAAAAAAAAAAAAAAGTGAAATATATTCAAGTTCGCCCAACAAATAAGCGAGTGAATCCAGGTCCCTCTGAACCCATGGGACTTAAGAAGATGCTCTCTAATCAGGCAGGGGCAAACAGCAGACCATCTCTCCAGGGACTGAGTCATCATTAAATTCCAAATATAGATTCCTGTCTTTGGAAAATGGTTTTGCTATTCCTTTGAAAACTAAAAAGAGATTTGTCATGTGACTCAGCACTTATTCTCAGGCATTGGCCCCAGAAAAATGAAGACTTATTATAATTTACTGAGGAATTTGTCCTTGGATGTTCATCGCCACTTCAGTCCTTTCCACATCGGAAGCGAGCCGATTGTCCTTCAAAGTGTGAATGTTTCTAAAGCCGTGGCACATGGACACCATGGAATACGACTCAGCAATAAGGAAGAATGAGCTATCGATAACCACGACGACTGGGAGGAACCACAGGCAAAGTATATGCGTGGTTGAAGTTGTCCTCACAAGGACACAGACTGGATGGTTTATTTCATAGCACAAGTAAAATAACATAATTACGGAGCTGAAGAACAGGTTAGTGTTTGCCACAGGTTTGGGATGGTGGCACGAATGTGGCTATACAAAGAAATACGATGGAGCCAGCAGGCAGAGTGGGGTGTAAGGCGTGGACTTCCACGTGGCTGACCATGGTTAGACTCCTAGACCCAGCGGTGTGAAAAATGACACCAGGTGTGTGTGTACGTGTGTGCTCAAAATCCTGAGAGGAGGAAGGATTGTGGCATGGCCACCCCTCTGCGAGGGTGATTTCTCTCATTCCCGCTCTCCATGTCTCTCCAGTGAATGCAAGCACCCTATGGCAAAAACCTTAAAAAAAAAAAAAAAAAGCGTAAGAGGAGAGTCCCAGGGTGATGGTAGGGTTAAGTGTCCGGACTGTGGTAGTGGTCACACCAAGCACATATGTGGCCAAATCGCAGGGAGTTACACGTGCACACACACGAGTGCACACGAATATGACTATGTGGGAAATGGTGCTGTCTGAATAAACCATATGGAAATTACAACTGTAGGACGCTAACACTGGGGGGTGAGGAGGCGGGGAAAGGACACAAAGAAGCTTTGTATGCTTCTTTGCAACTTTTGCAAATCTCTAACTATATAAAACTAACTATATAAAATTTCATACTTACACGATCTGCAGTGCTGGAGACTCAGAGGATGATTTCAGCGTAGGCATTTGAAAGTTCATCAAAATATACGATTATAGTCTTTCTCTTTCCATGATAATATCAGAAAGAAACATGAGGATCATTGTGTATTGTTCCATGAAAGCTGGTCTACTCTTAGGCCAACAACATGCTGAATATCACCAGAGAAGGAGATCGGAAATGAAATAGACCAGAAAAGTCCAGTCTCTGGTCAGAGGCCAAAAGAGCCTGGCTGACTCTCTTCACACAAAACACATACAACACCTCAAACCTGGGTCTTTTCGAAAAGCAACATGAAGAGGCTGGGGGGCTGCCATATGAGAAGATGAAGAAGATTCTCAAAGAGATGTAGTAGAATTTTAGGAATCTGTAAGTCTACAACATCTAACAAAACTAACACATATTTTGTGAAGGTTGGCCGACAAAGTCAACTGAAAAGAAGTACTATTCTATTTTTTTTTTTTTTGAGAGAGAGATTTTTGCTATAGGGTGCATGTGCTTGCTGGAGAGGCAGAGAGAGAGAGAGAGAGAAAGATGGCCAAGCTGCACTCCCTTCTTCTCCATTCTCCTTTCGGGATCTTGGGCATGTACACACATGCACCTGGCGTGAGTTTTTTAAGTCACTGAGTCCAGGACTCGAACCACAGTCGACTACGTGGGAGTCCAGCAACATAATCATTACTCCATCTGCTGGTCACCAGAGAAGTTCTATTCTACCAGGAGCTGCAGTGCCAGCAAATACAGAAATAAATTCACAGTGATACAATTGAGTGCACAATTGCCAAAGCCATGATGGCTTTGGAGGTAAGTTTCTGACCCTCATAGACTGGTATCAGCGAGGCCCGCCAGGCCCATCACCTCAGGGAAGGAACTGAGCTTGCTCAAACTCAGAAGGCCAATCTTTACTTTGGAATCACTCAGATATTTTGGACAACTAGTCCAGTGAGAAACTAGTTTCCATTCCATATGACAGACATTACTGAGAAGGAAAATAAAGCAACACAGCAAAAATTGAGCAACAAAGGAGAAGACTTTGCCATAAGTCTGGGTGAAGATGCTTCCTCTGAAGGGAGTTTAAGCTGGAGCTACAGAGAGTGATGGGCAGAGAAACAAGAGGATTCTTCTTTCCGAGACTATCCTACAATACGTAAAGTTGTGTATGACGTTCTGGTCTAGCCCAGCTGATTAATGCACCACATTTAATTGAGCACCTGTAATGGGACAAGACTGTAGGCCTTACTTAGGTAGCGTTCCCATAAAGTGACTTGTGTTGTAATCCCTGCGTTATTTGAAGACATATTTTGTGGGAGGCTGCACACCAGCGAGTCTGCCGAGGCCATTTTCATGAGCCTCTTACTATTGCCATCTTAGGAAGCCCTTAGGCTTTGGTTTCTCAGAGAGCAAACAATTACACAATGACAAAGGCCATGATTGGTTCCCCTTCAAAACCTCACCTTCAGGAACCAGCAGTTAGCATAATGGCTATGTCGCTGGATTCCCACGTAGTCGACCGCGGTTCGTGTCCCGGACTCGGTGGCTTAAAACTCACGCTGGGCGCATGTGCGTGCGTGCCCAAAATCCCGAGAGGAGAAAGGAGGAGAAGGGATTGCGGCGTGACCATCCCCCCGGGGGGTGATTTCTTGCTTTCTGTCTCTATGTCTCTCTCTGTCTGTCTGGCGAGTGTACGCGCCATATAGCGAAAACCTCTCCAAAAAAAAAAACAACCTCACCTTCAAAACCATACTCTGATTGGCCACTTCCCATAGCAAATCAGTGAGCTTAGAATTCCTCAGATTTGCATATCTGGCACCTCATGATTGGTCCACAAAAGCAACCAATCATAATCCACCTTTTACAATCCTTCATTTAACTAATCACTGCCCACCAACATGTATATAACCATGATCCCTGGCCCACAATCGCCAGACGACCCTGACGACCCTGAAGACCCTGAAGAGTTGTGACACCGCGTCATCTCCGGATGACTCTGAAGAGTTGTGACACTGCGTCGTCTCCGGACAACCCTAAAGAGTTGTAACACTGCGTTGTCTCCGTGCTGCCCACAATAAACGGACGACCCTGAACAGCTGTAGCACTGTGTCATCTCCGGTTTGAAACACTGTGTTATTCGTCCCGTCTCTCACTCCTCCCCTCAGGAAACCTGTTCGACCGTCCCCCGGGTCGGGACAATATTTAAACCATATGGCTGGCTTACTCATGACAAAAATGTCCAATATTAAGAAAAGACCTGGGGCCAGCAGGTGGTGCGGTAGTTAAGGCACTGGACTCCCACATGGTTGACCGTGGTCTGAGTCCTGGACCTGGTGGCTTGAAACTCATGCCAGGCGTATGTGTGTGCATGCCCAAAATCCTGAGAGGAGAATGGAGAAGGGATTATAGGTGGCCATCTCTCCTGGGGGATGATTTCTCACTTTTTGTCTCTCTGTCTCTCTCCGTTTCTCCAGCGAGCGCACCCTCTCTCTCTCTAAAAGAAAAGACTGTGTGTCCTCATGGCCAGCACCGAGGGAGGGGGATTTTGTTGTTGATTAATGAGACAATGACTTGATGTCCTTTAGAGGAGAGAGAGGTTTGCATGCATGCTACCTAGGAACAGTAATATGATGAAAAAGATGCTAACAGACATGGAAGATATAAAACTTGTTTAAGAGATGGAGACTAGTCTACAGACAGGACATGGTATAGTTAGTTTACTCCCAGATGGAGGCATGAGCTGCTCATTTCCCATGAGGGTGTACAGTTGCTGATGAGACTACCCTAACTGGGTGCCAGTCAAAGGGTCCTGGCCTTCTCAGACGTTTCCAACTATTCCTGGACACTTTTCACAAACTTCCAACCTACATATCCAACTACATCTTTGA